ACGCACAAATCAACAGTGAGGATAAGCCCACTGTTGCGACACTGTCAGTCAGTGTCCCGTCGTCAAGTTTACTTGACGACGTACGAAAGGCATACGCGGAAGATAAGGATCTTCTGCGATTGATGTATCATCTGGTGAATCCATCCAGTACTTCCATGAGGGATTTACCGGCTTTGTACCGATCCTCATCGGATCGGTATAGTATACGCAACGGATTGCTGTACTATACAGCTGTTGCCGACGACACGCCTCGTGTCGTCGTACCCGCTCATCATGATCTGCGTTTACGCATCATGTATGAGTGTCACGACGGCCCAACAAGTGGCCATCGTGGTAGAGAAAAGACTTACCTCACGGTAAGTCGTGACTTTTACGGGTCACGCCAGTATCAGTTTGTCCGCAAGTACATACGTGCTTGCGAGGTTTGTCAACGGGTGAAGCCTAGTCCTTCATCCCGTGCGCCTTTGCAGCCTCTGCCTGTTCCGGCAGAGTGCTGGCAGTCCGTTTCAATGGACTTCGTCTTCGGTTTTCCCGAAGACGCTCACAAGAATAATGGTATTCTTGCGTTTGTTGACCGATTCAGCAAGATGGTGCATCTTGCTGCAGTCCCTGAGTCGATCAAGGATCAAGGTTGTGCTCGTGTCTTTCTCGAGACGGTCTTTAGACTCTACGGGGTACCCCGTGAGCTCGTATCCGACCGTGACCCTCGGTTCACGGCGGCATTTTGGCAAACCGTGTTCCGTACTCTCGGAACACGATTGAAGATGTCCACTTCTGACCATCCAGAAACAGATGGTCAGACGGAACGTGCGAACCGTGTCCTCGAAGAGATTCTTCGAGGATATGTCCACTCGTTTCCGAGTTGGAGCGAATTCCTACCCATGGTGGAATTCGCCATCAATAATTCGGTGCATGCTTCAACACAGCACACACCGTTTTACGTGAATGGCCTACGCCATCCACGAGTGTCCACCCTTATAGAGTGTAACTCTTGGATAAGGGGGGAGGGACTCGCTCGAGCAAAGACCGTTTTGGCTCTTGCTCACCACGTGTCGACGCTAACGTCGTCACGTATGATGCCGATGTCGATCAAGTCGACATCGATGAAGAAGATCATCTTAATAATAGCAAAGACGCTATTATTGATTCGGATGATGATGACGATGCTGGTATATTCAGCATCGCAAACGATTATGTCAGCGAGGAAGAAGACAACCTCGCTGAAGAAGAGAGCAATCTCTTAGTAGTGCGCACGAAGCGCACTGCCAGACAAAACTAAGACTCAGCAGAGAACTTCCTGCTGACTCGAGAAGCGGTAGTCCGTTTCGTTCAGGACTCCATCGCAAATGCGGTGGACCGTCAGAAACGGAACGCAGACAAGAATCGAAGAGCAAATGTTCTTTCATTTAAGGTTAACGACCTAGTACTACTGTCAACGGTAAACCTACCTGGACATGCAGTCACTAGTGTCGGCAGTAGCAAACTACTGCCGAAATACATTGGGCCATTTCGAGTGTTGCATCGCAAGGGCAATGCATACACACTCGAATTGCCACGTAGGATGCGCACGCATCCTACGTTTTACGTGGGGAGGCTTAGGTCGTACTGTCAGTACGAGCCTTCTTCTTCCGATGAAGATAGCCCCCACGTTCAAGAACATCCTTCAAGTTCTTGCGTTCGCGCTCCAGACGATCCGTCTGGTCGCGCAGATATGATACCTCGGTATTCAACCGAGATATCTCCCCGCGAGCTGTCGCCAGCTCGCCGAATAGGGAGCGGACATCCCGCTCGACCTGAAGCTGCGCCGTGGCATAATCGGCGCGATCCCTCGCCCGATCAGCCTCGTGATCCTTGCGGTTCTTCCGCATGGTATCAGTCAAATCGTAGCGCCGGTCGCGCTCGTGCTTCAAGTCATCGCGCAATTCATCGATTGCGCTTCCATCTCGAAAGGGTCGAGATGGTGAGCCGAACCATCTGGAGGAGGTCTTTCCTCCTCCACTACATCCTTTGGTTGATGCTCAAGGTGATCAACGCTTTCTAGTGGAGCGTATCTTGAATCACCGTGACGATTCAGGATCAAGGACGAGCTACCTCGTCCAGTGGCGGGGGTATCCACCCTCTTGGAACAGCTGGGAGCCCCGCTCTCAGCTGTTGATGGATGTTGAAGGTCTCGTCCGCCAGTATGACGAGACCCATCCGATGAGTCCTGTGGCCCATCGGTAAACACGCGCCCTAGGCGCTTGTAGTCGGATTGCAAGTTTGCAATCGCGTCACGCATCTCAGCCGAGATGTGTGCCCTTCCCCAGGGCGAATTTAGGGAATACACGTCCCTATGTGCACGCTGCGAGTTGTCAACACAACTCGCACAAGGGTCTCCCCATGTGAGGCAAGGAATGCCTGCCTCACTCGACAAACAGTGCAACCGGTATCTGGCACCGGTTGGCGTTCGCTTTCCAAAACTGAGGCGTGTCGCCTCAAGTTTCTTGAGCCACCCTTCTCGTCCAAAATTCTTTACGTTTTGGACGAACGCGTTCCACGCTGCCAAAAGCGATGTTTTGTCACGCTTTTGGTTACTGTTGTACCATCGATGTCTGAGGGAGACATCGAGATAAAAGTCTTCTTCAGCGCGAAAGTTCTTCGCGCTGGGACTCAAGCCGTGAAGCTCAGTCGCATCGAATAAGGGTATTCGATGGTGTTGGCTAGTCTCGTGAGACAAGCCATTGATGAGCCGTTCAAGCAAACGCCACGGCTTCAGCTCATCACGCTTCACGGTGGTACCTTTGTTGGTACCACGGTTGTCATTATGACGATGGGTTGCACCATCGCCAGGTCGCTCGTGCGAAGACGCACGAGCTGACTTCGGTGATGAGCAAACATACTCATCATCAGATTCGTCATCACTGCCGAACATACTGTGTTGCAACTCACGAGTCCGTTCGTTCGGCAGTGGCCTTGGCAAACACTGAGGCGTCGCCGGTGAGCGAGACGCCTCTGCAGCATTGCCCGAGTCAGACGTGTCTGACTCGCCAGAGTAGATGACCTCAATGTCGGGGTCATCATGCGCACGCGGTGCTCTACTGCGTGCACCTGCAGCACCTCTTGCTGCAGGCGAAGAACGAGCGGCAGACGACGAAGCGTCTGCCGCAGAGGCTTGCACAGCACCATGCTGTGTGGGTCTTGAGTCACCTCGCATAGACATGTTAACTATGCGAGGTCAAGCGGAAAGTGAATGGAACGGACCCAACAAGTGCTCCCTGTCCCAATGGCGACCAACGGGTGGCCTCCATGTTTTCGATAGTCACACGGTGACTATCAGTTAAGGGGGGGTGATGTAACGGGGCAGCCCGTTACATGAAATTGTCACTTTAAGGAAAGTGACAATAAAGAATATTAAGTTGAATATTCTTTGAACAATATCACCGATAGTGGTGATATTGGTGAAGCGACCAAAGAGTCTGCTCATTGGTTGATATCTTGACGATATCAATCCACCAATCGCCGCAGGACGCGCGCAATGAGTGGTGGCGAGACGTCACCATACACTCAGTTAGATTAACATAATTAAGTCAGGTTAAACAAAGAGACAGTAGTTAAAAGACTTAGTTATATTAATATAACAGTTCTGCTTTTACCTTATCTACGCTTCCTCGTTTGCCTTGTGTACGTCTGTAGGGGCACCGATACCCTTGCGTTAAGTTCACGCAAGGGTGTGCCCCGTTACAGGTGGGCCGCGAAGGTTTTCGCTAGCCATTGAGTTGTTTTCCGTGGTGCAAACCTGCCATCGAAAGTGTTTGGTTGCAATACTGTATTTGATTCATTCAATTATTCGACAAAAAAGAACATGGCGAGAGTTGCCGTTGACAAAATTGTTTCGTGAAACAAAAGAGCAGAGTAAATAGCATGAACACAACCGCTTTCCATCACCGAGATACATCTATCCACATAATGGGAATATCGGCTTGAGGCCTTGGCGATGATTCTAGTCAAAGTAGGCGAAACACACGGTATGGTGTCAAGTGACAAAGGCGTTCGCTTCGCACTGTTTACTTGTGTGCTGTAGAGTTGAACGAAAGCGGCATCTTCAGGACATCGAATGGGTGACGATTCGATGCATATTATCGAGTATGGCGCAATGCCCTTTGACCTGGTACATGTCTCAAGTCGCTCCCGCACACAGATCGCGCGAGGATTTACCCGACATCACCTCCGTATCAGTAGATTCCTGTGACAACCACTTCAGATGGCTGGAAGGAGTAGGACTCGGCGTTCGCACCGATGCATATAAGAGGACATTAGGAAGTAAGGGCGATTCAAAAGGGACCTAAAGGCAGCTTGAGCCACTCCATCCACTCTCTTCGGCATCTGCCATTTGTCTGTCAACAAAGTCTCACCGAGACTGTCGAGGGACTTGTAGCTTGAGACGCCCCGAGCTCACACGAAAGTCGTTTGTGAAGCAACGTCGGACCGTCACTTGTCGTTGCTTGAGCGCACTTCAGACCTTTCGCTCTGCATGTCCAACGGATGTGCTCTCGGACCAGTTCCACAACAAGAGCTTGATGTCATGATCCACGGCTATATGTGTGCAAGTTTGGCTGACAAAATGCACCCAGATGGGTCGTGCTCGGCTCTTGGTCACAAAGAAGGCGGCTATGTTCAAGTCAAACGAACACCTTCGCTTTCGCATTTACACTGCTGTTGGCCGAGATCGGCATACGCGCGCGGGTCACATCATCCTATCCAAAGATTGGGCGGACGCATATGTCAATCTTGTGACGTCAATCGACGTGACCGACATGCGCAGTCTTGACGTTCACAAAAGACCAATGCATTCATAAATTCTGTTGCCACTGCTGCTGTTATTTGCGCGAAGCGACTTCTTTCTTGTGCGACACCGGCGTGAACGTATTCATGCGTGGAGGGCAAGCAGCGACAGATATGTAGCAAAGCGATGCAGCCAGTCAAGTGCCGCATTTCCGATCGTTGCGCTGGATCCGATCCTGCTACATTGCCAGCGCCGCAGGTTCCGCATTGCCATCCATCCACTCTACAACCTCACCGTCCTCAGTCATCGCTGCGTCAGCTGGCAATGTACCGCACATCGGTGCCACATCGACACGAGCTGCCCCAAAGCTCTCCCTTTGAGCTGCTAAGGTGAGGTCGTCAAACCGCAATGCCGCCACTTTCGTATCCATTCTCTGGCGGTGGCGATAACGTGCCCGTTTCTTGGCCTCTTTTTTCTTCCTGTCTTCGACCTCATAGATCGTCCGGTACGTTTCCCTCGGCACTTTTTCCTTCAAGAGCGTGAAAAAGACACCGCCCGCCGTGCGACGCCGCACTTTGCAGTCCCGAGAGACTTCGTCCAGCACGAAAACGAGTTCGGGTCTATCACTAGTTGCAGCGTCAACCGCCGATTGGCCGCTGGCTTTTTTGTCCAGACGCAGCGTCTCCCGCAAGAGCTGCCAGGAGAGTTTGGGGCCCACGATTTTGACCACACGATGCAAAAGCGCTACTTTGGGCTCTTTTAACAGCTCCGACAGCACGCGCGGCATGTCTTTTGTCAACGGCTGTTTGAGGCGATTGCGACGGCGTTTGGCGCTGTTGTTGGGCCCACTCTGTGGCGCCTCATTCGTCTCCTTTTCGCCCGTCGCTTCCCTTTCGTGTCGCTGCGGCAGCTCTTCCGGCGGTGCAGCACCAGCCCGTGGCAGCTGCAAAAAGTCCATTTTCGCGAGAGAGGAAAACGACCAATGCCTGTTTAAAACAAATCGATGTTTTTCGTACATGAATGTGCGAAAGTTGACTTTTCGATTCCACCAACTTGGCACGAAAAGGGTGTGTTTGTCAGACGCGAGACACGCGTAGTACCACATGATGCATTGTTGGGGCATCCTCTGTTGCAGCAGCGTTGACCAACGACTCCTGTAGCTCCGGCGGATCGTTGTTCGCTGATAAAGTGTAGTCCATTTGTGTACTCGATGTATCGCACCCGTTGCGTTCGATTCTTGTTCGGTCAAACGTTTGCATATTGCTTGTCAAAAGAGGATACCAGGCTGTAGGGTGAGTATGCCCGGCTATGAGAGAATTGCGTGACCATCAAGTTGTACGACACGCATCAGTTGATATCGCGGCTCTGTTTCAGACTGGAACAACCCGACAAAAAGCTTGAGGTGTCGGAAATGGAGATGTCGTAGCAGACGCGTCATCCAGTTTGGCGCTCAAGCTGCCGGATACAAAAGCTACAGATGATGTTACAGATTGGTCACACAAGCTGCTCAGGGTGTTCGCAGTCGATGAGATAGCACAAGGAAGGGCTGGGACTTCACTTGTCCATTGATGGTGCGTAGATCGAGGCCCCCTCGTGGGGTCGTAGCAGGTCCTCATCGCGTACAATAGGACAGTCATCGATTATACATCGGCCTTTCAACACGCGGTACACAATGTAGATTGGATACTCAAGCCAGTATCCCGATCTTGCTGACAAACGCAATCGTCAGGTCCTTTACTAGCGCGACGGGATTAGAAACGAGACCAGGGCCAATTCTGTAGGCTCTGCTGCCTATACATCGAACGTTGGTCGGCTGATACAGCTAGCGTTATAGTTGCAGCTCGTGCGAGTAAGCGTTTGCATGCTACAGCGTTAATTCACGTCGAATGTGTAACGGGGTAGCCCGTTACATTAAATTGTCATTGTGGATAAAATGACAATAAAGAATATCACGTTGAATATTCTTTCGACAATGTCACAAAGCATAATGATATTGTGGGAATGACCGAAGGGTCTACTCATTGGTTGATATCGTGATGATATCAACCCACCAATCGCTGCTAGACGCGCGCAATGGGTGGTGAGTAGACGTCATCATACGTTTAGTTATATTGGTATAATTAAGTCAAGACAAACAGAGAACACAAGAGTTATAGGACTTAATTATATTAAAGACAAATTTACTATACCACGACTAGAGCCTTTGCCTTGGTAGCTCTATCTTCCTCTGTGTAGTTCTACACCTAGCAGGGCACTGACTATCAGTGCAGTCGGTGATAGTAAACTCCGTACTGGTTGGCCTGTACGTAGTCGTCGGTGTCCCGTTACAGAATGCCCGTAGATAGCAACCCATCTGCTGATCGATCGTAAGTAGCTATCATGTAGACTTGAGGGACTATCACAATGTGCTATCGTTGAGAATAAGTCTGATGCAGGCCCGATAAAATGCGTTTACGTAGAGGCGTTTGTAGCGTAAGAAGCCGAACAAGGGATTAGCTGGACCTTAAGCTACATTTGCAGATAAAGTCCGGCACGAGCTAATATCAAAATGTCGAGGAAGCGCACATGCGGCTTAATTATAACACGTCATCATGAAAGAATAGACTATCAAGCAGATCACGTTGGGGCAGGTAGCCGACGTATTAACTTTGCTGCTACGTCTGAGGTTGGCAATGTAATCAGCAGTTGCTACTTCCATCGAGTTAAAGTCCTTTCTTTCGGCTGCTTGTCGCGCTCATCGATTTCGAGTTTCCCATATCCACGGCACCCATCTGCGGCCTCTTATCGGACCTGCCGAACCTTTCTTTACCAGTTCATGCGCGTAGTGTGCTGTGTTTCTCAATTTCACCCGCGAGCACAAGGGCCTCACGACAAGCAACAAGCTCTAGTGCGCTGCTTCTGCCTGAATTATCCAAGCTTTAAATGTAGTTACTGTGGTTACGCAGGGATGAGACCACGTCCTTCTATGCTAAGTGAAAATGCTGAGACTCTTGTGGTCACTCCATATACCGACTCGCGACTTGATCGCTTGACAAAAAACGGCATAGATGGGTTGTAAGGACCATAAGTACGCAAAACAGGTTGGACCATCTGTAGGATCAGAAAGGATTCACATTCACTCATTCGCATACATTGATCAAGATACAAAAATCTGTGGACAACGTCACTCTGCAGAAATCAGGTGGTCAGTAAGGAAGGGGATTACGTCACCGTAACCACCAATATAAACCCGAAAAATCAGTAAGTAGAAAAGATATGGAGAGAGACATTACTGGGGTTTTTGAGTTGACAGGGGCTTATCCCAATCAGCCATGATGTATACAGTTTATCTAAATACTGCGAAATACACCTCCATCTTTACAAGTGGTAGCACTTGTTGGTCAACCTATCTTCGGCCCGTCGTCACCGACGTCCTCGACATCACCAACGTTGTCACTGTCTTCCGTTTGGTGTTCGACTCTTCGGTTGCTACGGGTATTATCTCCTATGTTAACCTTTCGCTGTCGCTGTGCAAATACAATTTTCGGTGTATCGCTTCGATATTGTCTGTTAGCCTCAGAGCCTGATTTATTAGATAGAGTCACTGAGCGTGTGTGAGTTCTGGTTTGGCCGTCTTGTTTTTTTGTCGATTTGACACTGTTAGATTCCCTTCAAACCTCGTTGCGTGAGTCCGCTTAAATTTCTCCGGCTTTTCCGTCATTACTTGTCAGGTGAACAGAAGTGCGGCTCTATCAGCCAACGTGTATGGGAAGAGGAAACACGACCGCACGATCCAGATCGACTTTATTAGGCCATCCTCTTCAGCGCTGGAACTGAGGCTGCAAGTTGCACCTAGAATCTGCACAAGTCGATCAAGAAGCGTCTACGTGTAGCTAAAGCGTTGCATCGCAAGCTAAAAAGGAAAATAGCTACTTGCCGTGAGAAGTTAATCGTCTCGCAAATCCTCTCCTTGAAATCGACATTCTGCTTACGAAAGCCAAGCGTACCCTGTACCGAGACCGTCGCTACGCTCTACGGGACGTAGAAAAGAAGCGCAAGACGTCTACAAGTAATTTAGGCTCAACTGCTTAAGCTCTAGTTAAGCATTTTGGTGAGTTTCTATTCTCGTCACCATGTCCGACCCCGTCTCATCCCAGATTATGGACAGTGCGGTGCAAATACTGAAACTTGATAGCATATGATAAACCACCTTATGCGTCCTCGCATCGACTCAAGCATTCGAGTAGACGGAATAAAAATACCCGTATACACTGGTTGTCTGGTCTTCCAGACAATATTGTTCTAAGATCAAATGGAGCAGTATTTTACGGCACGCGGAATAATTTTTATGACGAAACTATATCGGGACAAGTCATCGCGATTATTGTCAGGAGTCCTATGCGGACCTGCTGCACAGCGGTACTCTACCAATCGAGCCGACATCACCTCGATCGACATTTTATAATCGAACTGTACCGTGAATTTGTTCCGGTCGATCTTCAACAACGTCTACGTGACGGTCTACATTCAATAAAGCAATCAGCTTGCAGAAATTTGGCCGACTATGTTGCTCGATTCCGTCAGGTTATGGTGCATATCACCCTTATGAGTGAGATTGATAAATCATCTATTTGAGGCACGGGTTACGAGGTACTATCCGTCAAGCGGTGGAGTATCGCCGCTGTTTCTTACTGATTCAGGCAATCACGATCGGGATGGTGTATGAACGTTCGCACTCAGGACAACGGCATGAGTCACAAGGTTCAAGAGGTCGTACAGCTCAACCATTTGCGGCTTCTTTGCCAGTCAATACTCAGCCGGATCGATTGTATATGGACAATGCTCGACTGTACGCCCCCGCGGACAAGCTCAACCCAATCAACAAAGGCGATCACAGTCATTTTGTCGCTACTGCAAAAAGCAAGGGCATTTCATCGAGCAATGCTTTATTTACAGAATTGTAAAAATTTAGCTCCACGTCACATGCGTCGCGACAACATTAGTCAGGAGCGCGATGCTGTCAATTTATTCGACGAAGCTTAATCAGAGAGTGAAGAAGGTTTTGGATCGTCTTATGCAGTAATTACCCACATTGATGACGAAGAAGCCGACAAGCTCCCTGTAAAAGACTTGATCATTGGATCAGGTACGTGGGACGGAGAAACTGCATAGATATTTCTTAAAATAGAGATCTACCTGCAATGTAGTGAAACTGGGGTTGTTAAAGCGCGTCATGTAGAAAAAATGGTGCAATTTACGCGTTTTGATGGATCCAACACCACCAAGCAAAAGTTCAGTGAAGGCTTGGCTAATATTGACTTTGCGGGACGTGTCTTTCGTGACGTCAAAGTTCTCGAGTGGCCAATGGAAAACAAGCACGACCTCATTCTGGGTAAACATTGGATTACTGATAGCAACCCTATATTTATCTGACGCACACATGGTGTCGAGTTTTCCACTCCTCAACCGTTGCAGACAGAGTTCGCGACAATTCCGTTCTCCTACTTTGATCGCAAGGACCGAGGCGCAGATTTTGAGGAAGTTTATCGCGTTAAGATATCGCAGGTTTTCGAGCCTCCGGACATTACAGATCTAAGAGTGTTGCATATCGTGAATTTTTACTCGGGCGTGCTCCCGGCGAAAGTACCGAATGAGCTACCACCTCATGGGCGTGTCGAATTTAAATTGATGATGATTAAATTAAACGCCATCCCGAGCACTAGTCCGCTGTTCCGACTTTCTCACACAGAACAAGAGGAACTCTGCTTATTTGTCGAAGAGAAGCTTGCGAAAGGCTGGATCGAAGTTTTGGACTCTCCGTGGGTACCGAATATTATCGGCATTCTTAAAAAGGATCCGTAAACTGAGAACGAGTTAGCTCGTGTAGAATTGATTTGTTTGAATAATGCGACAGTTCCAATTCGGTGGGTCATTGATTATCGTCATGCCAATGGCCAAACTGTTGTTCCAAAAATTCCG